CAGGGCATTTCCAAGCACAACAATCCAATGTGAAGAAGTGAGCCAGCGAAACAGCCCATTTCCAATCTCAATATTTGCTGGCCAAATCATGAAAAGCGGACTTGAGCCTTTTGTTCACGCCGCTTTCACCCATCATCACCCCCAGGCTCCCTCAACAACAAAAGCGTCGACGGCTTCGGCGCTGCCACAACTTTCTCCAAAGCGAAAGCACCCTAACCGGACGATGATGATCGGAGGACGCTCTTTGTGCAAAGTGTGGTTGCAGCACGCAGCGCAGTTACATCATGATGTGGTCGACATGTTCGACACCACGACATGCAAGTGCCCCATCCCCCAATAGCCCAGTACAGAACACAATCGATCGTACACATCGTAAAGCAACGCTCAAATCGCCAAAGCCTGATCAAATAACTCCCCATCTTACGTTTAAGACTAAGATGAAGCAGTAGATTGTTTTCGTTGCGCAAGACATGGGAAAACTACGAACTAAGTCATTCACTCACTGCGTACATTCGCAAAGAATCCATGTGGTCAGACCTTGCCGCCCATCTCAGGTCTGCCGCACTTCCTTGGAGGCAACAGATGTGACGCCGGCATGCAGGCACTGACAGTATGTACTTGTCACTGGTCCACATCTCTCGTTCCACAATCTGCCGCCGTCTCATCTGTCGCAACAACATCCATGTCCAAGACTTCAAGAGCAATCTAGCCGATGTTGAGTGCAAGCTTGCGAAAGATTTGCTGGCGAGGGTCGTGCATTTGGCAAACTTGAACATGCACTTGCCCCCTTTGTCACATTCGGCCGCACCACCCGGATTCGCCATGACACCTGCAACGTTCAGCGGGAGAACGAACCATATCCACGTCGCACTTCAGAGTGCGCAACAGCACGCGCGACTCGAGAGGGGCCCGGAGCTTGAAGTTATGTCTTCCTTTCTTCGTCTTTCCTTCTTTCTGTGTGTGAAGGGGGGGAGCCCTCTTCGGCTTCTTTGTACAGGGTTTCAGGGTTAAGGTCGGCAGGGACGTTATGATTACTCCCTCACCACCCAACTCCCGCTCCCCTCCCAAAGACCCACACACCGAACAGCAGCCCAAACTTGGGTTGCGCGGAGCCTACAGTACGCTCAGCTAGGTCGGTCGATGTGGATCGTGCTCTAGCCTTGGTGCGGGCGTTTCCGTGCTCGTGGTCCTCGAAACTGGCATGGCTTTGGGACGCCGGTGCTCGCGAAATGATAAGCTGTCGCTTGGATTTTTTGGCTGACATGGTTTCTGACTCTGACTGTTTGGCATCTGCGCTGGCATCATTTTCACAAGAATGCGGGGCCCATGCCAAGGGCCAAAGGATGTGCCATTGAACGAGCACTCCAGAGGCAGTGCATGTCTGGTTGTGCTCCGGTTGTCCTTTGCCATGGTTGTGGACCTGGATTCGGGCAAGGAGGAAGGGGGGGCGGAGGTCGCGAACGGACTGCTCCCTTGTGCATGTGGGCGGCCTCTCAGGTCAGCGTTTTGTTTAGCTGCTTAGCTCTTGTGTAACCCTCTATAGTAGGTGCAACAAGGCCCTCGTAGCCATTGTCTACGGGGCGCGTAGGTACGTGTAGGTATCGATGCTCTGCAGCAGGAGCTGCGTAGATCCGCACACGCTGCGGTCACGAAGAGCATCATGTAAATCAACATCAAGAAAACCCTGAGCCCTGAATCTGAAGTGCCAGACCGAGTGGGTGTGGGGTGCGATCTGGCGATGAGGCCCAGACGCTCCAAACTTAAATGAGTGGGCCATTGTAGTGGTACAAAAGCGCGGCGTGAACCAATCGGCGTGATCCACATAGGCTCCTGGTACTCTAAACGCTTCTTCCCCCCCCGGGGGGGGCCCCCCCCCCCCCCACCCCCCCCCCCCCCCGCCCCACCCCACCCCGCCCCCCCACCCCGCCCCCCCCCACGTATGCCCGCCCGAACTGGCCCCCCCTCGGCCCCCCCAGCCCCCCCCCCCCCTCCTCCTCCCCTGCGCTCCCCCCCACCCCCCCAAACCCCCCCCTCCCTCTCCCCCTGCGCTCCCAAAACGTGTACTTAGCCAAATTTAGACATGCTGGCGGCGTTGCGCGTGTACTGGCTGTCTCTGGGTGCCGAGCCTGGACCTTTAGCCAGCTTGCCTTCGGGTGCCTGGCAGTAGTTGCCTGGGTCTGCGGACAACAAACTGGTTTCCCCTCAACATGTGGAAACGAGTGCAAAACAAAACAGACGAATAAATACAGATGATAGATAAACAACGACAGAAATAAGCAAATAAATAAAACAATAAGCAAATAACATATATATATATATATATATATATAAATATGTGTGTGTATGCGTGGTGCAGCAACACCCTTCAAGAATACCTCACTTCTCTACGTACAAGAAAGGGAAGCACAATGTCATACAGCATGAGACAAGGTTCACTTCCCATACTTCCAGTGATGAGTTCCATCCGGTGACTTGGTGCAACTTCCAGAGCTGGACTCCATGGCACTGGAGGCGTCATGCTTGAACCTCAGGGGCGCATTTTTTTGCATCAGGGCTGGGTTGAGTCTAGCATGAGACCAGGAGGTGTCTTAAACAAATACGGTGTTTTTCAGTCGACACGCGGTCCTGTTGCAAAAAATCTGTGTCGCTGGCCCAGCACTCACACTGAAGCCACGTGAAATCACATAAGGCATGGGCGCGCTTAGTGTCAAACATGCTTTAAGCTGCCAAGCTGAACCAAGAGGCGTACTCACCTCTCCTGGTGCCAGGGAAAGAGTGCAGTCTCATGCAGACTGAAGCCCATGCCCCGCAACCGATGCAACTGCTCTGCGTTTCAGTGCTTGAGCTGCCCCGAGTGCCAGAAACAATGTACACTTCGAACTTTTATATGCTTTTGCAATCTTTTACATACCATTTTTGTGGGAGGGACAAGTTCGGCAACGCAATCTTGCTGAGGAGGCCGAAGACAGGCCTGCCACTCGTCTGCTCTCGCCGTTAGCCTCAGCCCCGAAAACCTCCCGCTTGGGCTCGTGGATGGAGCCTCTTTGAAACGATGAAGGAGGACGTGCAACTGAAATACGGATTTGCGCAACGAGCAGACGGAACCGCTCGACACTCTGCATCGTGTGCAGCCAAATCGGCCCCCCAGCCTCTAGTACGCAACACGGCTTGACATTTTAGGCAGTGGGCTTTGTCATTCAACCTTGGTGCACACTCAATCTGCTTTGGCGCATGCCGTTGCATGACGTGGGGCGGCCTAAGCACAAACGACTGCCTACTGTCCAACTGAGCCCTGGCTCCATTGCGGCACGGACTTGTAGCCACATTTGTCGCACTCCATCTTGATGCGATCTTCCGCCATGTTTCGACCGGTGCAAGGAAAAGCCCCAACTACCGCAACTGCCCCCGATGTGCACGCCTTAAGCCATATGTCCCATATGCCATGTCAACTGTTTCCGTTTTCATGCTTGTGCAGCACTACCCTGCGCCTAAAACCAACATGTCCTATGAGCACCTTGGTGATTGCAACCGACTCATGCTATGTCTTTTGGCATCTCAGTCTGAAGCACCATTAAGACTTAAAACCTTTTGGGCATTCAGGGGCTGAAGTTTCTGCTGGTGCCGAAGCAAGTCACAACGCACGGCATTTCTCTAAGTGTCAGGCTCGTCCATGACACAAACTTCGCAGATCATTTGTAGATCCGTGATACTGCTACCTGGAGCTGCTTCATCGTCCTTTTTTTGCTCAAAACCTCTAGAAACTGCGAAATCACGACACAGGAGAGGACGTTATGCCAAAGCCGCCATGGACAGCAGCAGTTCTCTGAGTGAAGCGCGTGGAGCAGATTCTCTGATCCATCCCGGGAGACGCTTAAAAACTTCTGCCAGCATCTTTGCATCGTGCAGACAGGTACTCGCTTGAAGGGGATCTGTACGAAAAGTGTTCAGAGCGAGCGGAGGAAGGACACACGTTTCTTTGAATTCAAGCACTGGAAAAAGCTTTGGGTCATATCACTTTTGTAGAATTCTGCTACTCAGTGCTGCGTAAAATCGGGCTGCTGGTCCGCTTTGAACCGTGTCTTCCAAACGGTGGTAGTGCTTTTGGACGTGCTCAGGCCTAGGCAAGTGCATGCAAGTGCGCACTGCCAGCCAAAAAGAGCATGAATAAAAGAGAAGCAGCAAGCACAAAGGGACGCTTACGGTTTCTTTGGCCGACGCGACATCGTCTTTTCAAATTCAGGTCAGAATGTCGCCTGACGTTCTCGGCCAACCATCTTGGCAGGGTCTCCTCGGTCCCTGTCAGAGGCTCTTCAAGGCTTCGAGCATCTCTTTGAGAATGCAGGGTCAAGTGCTGCATTGTCATCTTCAGCATCTCGAGAGCATCTCAAAAAAAATGCCGGGTATCACGCGGTGTCAAGTAGGTCTTCGCATCCCCCGTCCGTCGTCTGCCGAAGTGCGCTGTGTGTCGTGGGCCGTATAGTGCCAATGGCTGCCAGGCTTCCAAATGCTTGGAGGTTGTGTGTCCTGGAGAAACTTTGTTCCCGAGCCCTGCCATACAAGCTGTAGCACAATTCGGCAAGACATCGAAGCTCAACATCAGGATGGCAAGCTGGCTAATACCTGCTTGCCTCTGAACAACAGCCTGTCTTGCACAGTGAAAGATACACCTGCTCATTAGTTCTCTCAGGGCCGGGCGTGACGCGCACCGCGCGCTCCAAAGCTGAGCCAAGCCTTGCGAATGCACAGGGTGGACGGGTGGATGGGCCCTTGTAGAGGAGCATGACAAGCACCCTCCTTATACTTGCTGAAGAATCAACAGCTCTCTTGCATTACATTGCCTTGTTGGGGAAAGCTACACAAAATGAAACGTCGTGAATCGCGCCATTTGCCCCTCTGAGAGTTTCTTCAGGCAAAGGGGCGCTTTTCGGAGGCCCCACTTCGGCATGAAACGCATCAACGCCATACTCAGCGATCCGGGACACACTGTCAGAACCTCAGAGAAGGGGGAAAGAAGGGGGAAAGTGGCATCATGTTCAGTAGCGGACAGCTTCCCGCGTGTGCATTTACGAGGCTGACCATGTGCACTTCAATGTGCTTGGGCTTGAAAGTCCCCAAGGCCCCTGCGTGTCGGACCTTTAAGGTGAATCCGGCTGCGCCTGGTCATTGAAAGACATCGGTGCGACAACGACGAGTTTTGCAAACAGCTGAACACGCGCCCTTGTCATGGTCGCCGGTGATTGCAGTGAACTTCCTGACGGTGGCAAAGCTGCGGCTTGGGCGCTCGGACCAAGTTGCTGCATGATGTCTTGTACTTTGTAACGGCCAGGCCGGGCAGCATGGCTAGTGTCTTATAGGGATGAGGCATCAAAATCAAGGGCAACAGAAAACAAAACAAGGGTCTCCAAATATACTGTGACTCTTCAATATCTCTGAGAATTCGCAGGCTGCAAAAACACGGCAACTCGCAGCAGCTCCTCCTCTCTGCAACTTGCAAATACGTTCGAGTAATCCTATCCACAAGCTTCTAAGACGCCAAAATCTGGCTGGGCATGTCATAGTGTCAGTGCAGCCCTTTTGCTTTGCCGAGACTTGTGAAGCGAAGGCTGAAACGAACATTTTCGGGCTGCACAGTCAAGTGGCTTGTGCTCGGCCTGTGAACCATGGCTTGGCTTTGTATGCATGTACTGGTTTTCCGTGAGGAGGGGCCTGCGAATAGGCTTTGGAGCGAACAAGAAGACTCAGTAGGGTAAGGCCTTCCCTGCTTTCTTCCCTCCTCCCTTCCTGTTCTGCCTTCTTTTCTTCCTGCCTTCCATCTGGAAGGAAGGAATTCACGCCGTTGAAGGACATTTTGATTGTGTATTGATCCCTACCCCGCCTTAAAGAATAAAGTCATGGAGGCCGAGTTGCCTGGAATTTGGCCAAGGTTCAAAACATCTGCAGCGCGCACATGTCCATCATCCACTGGCGGTAGTGATACACCAAAAGGCCTGGGCCAAGTTTAACCACCAGCTGCAGTAAACGCGATCAATACTGGGGCTTCTTGGACATTGAGCACACAAGTGCTACTCCTAAGCCAGAAACGCCTCAAATGCAGCAGCTGCTTGGGCAAGGCTTTAGGAGCCTTGGAAAGCCTAACCTGCAGCAGTTGGCCATGTTCTGCAAGTCAAGTAGCTGATCCTCGTCTGTGGCCGACGCCTCAACAACCCAAGCCTTAGCCAAAGATGCCTTTGCAGGGTCCCTGATGTAGTGTTTCCATGTCTGCGAACTAAGGCTGCGACATCGTACGGAGAATCTTTCTCCGGAATGAGCCAGTTGCGACGAAGTACATCGTCGGTCTTCACACCAACACCATCCTCGGAAGCACCCTTGAAACATGAGTTAGAGACTACATAATACAATATAATTCAATATTATATAAGTCTACTATAGCAATATAGAATAGTATAGTATAATAAAGGTCACAATAATAGTGAAGCAGCTATTAGGTATAACTCCAAGAACAGGCACCACTTCCGGACAGTTCAGCTCCTATCTAGTTCTCTTCCAAGTTTCGACCCCATGCACGCGCCAAACCGCCTGCACAACACCATGCATGGAAAGCTCAACGTAGCTTATCCCCTGCATCGGCGCTAGGTGTGACGGACTGCGGGCATGTCAAAAACCTACGACTCCTCACAGCTAAATTGCGCCTCCGCCACAGTGTGCTGTCCTGAATGGCGGCCCAGTAGCCGAGACAGAGGCGAAGCACCAACAACATGAACACTCCGTAGGTGCTCCAAGCATCCCAAAGGCTCAACCTTGTTAACGGTGCTGTCCCAACCAGGCGAACAATCCTGCATAGCAGATCACGCGCAGGATCCTCTCGAACCATATAGCACACGGGTCCATCGTCTGATTCATCTAGGAATTTAGGTGTGCATCTGCCCAGCTAGGTGTACTTGAGAGTGGACGCTGCGAATCTGCACTCGGACAAACAAGCGTTCCATTAGTTCCATGAGACTTTGCCAGCACACACGCACAGAGGCTAAAATGGCCCGGTACTGTAGCCTCCTCATTGTGGCCGTAAGTCCCATGAACGAGAGTTGAATCTCAAACTGCTCGCTGTATCGTTACGTATATTCGTCGTAGCCATCCTTGCTGCTTGCATCTGCTTACGTTAGCGTCCTTGCTGATGTACAGTGCCGCAAATCGAAGCAGCTCATCCATGCTGCTGAGATGCCTTGGGTCAGGCGCGCGTGCGTGCACAGGTGCGTACGCGGGTGGCACGTGCGCGCGCAGCCCGGGGCGTGCACACGTGCATGCATGTGTGCGCGTGGGGGGGTGGGGGGCGTGGGGGGCATGGGGGGCGTGTGCGTGCCTGTGTGCGCGTGTAGGCCGGTTACCTCTCATGCGAATAAACGGCGCAAGGCTTTCTGCCGCTGGCATACAGTGCAGCAGTGTGGCTGTGAGATGTTCGAATCTGAAGAGGTGAGGGCTTGCTCATTGAGACTCCACAGACGAGGAAACTTTGTCTGCGAAGTTTCGGGGGGCATGCCGCACATTTCTCTGCTAGAGCCCAGCCAAGACTCCATGTCACGGTCACCACGAGCATAAAGGAATGGCTGTGCAACTCCAAGCCATACCTCAGCGTGGCCGAAGGTTCTGGAGGAACGGCCGAGAAAGGTTACCGCAATACCTCAACAAAGGTGTCGCAGGCCACGTTGCTCAAAGTCGTAGTCCTGAAGTAATCCGAAAACAGGCATGCTGGACGGAGCAATGTTGATTTTTTCGAGCGATGCCTCGCAGGCACTTGAGACGGCATGGATGCTCAGCTCTCTTATGTCCTTGTCTACATTTACAGTTACTGACGCGTGCAATGGTCACATCCGGCCACAGGAACACACATGGAACCATTACCTGGCCTGGTACTGCGCGGCCACGGTGCACAGCCTGTCCACTCCGCCTCCGAGGAATGCCTCCTGGATCTCCAGGCACAGATTTGATGCCGCTCCCCATAGTCTCATTCGCTCATGGCATACTTTCGCTACCAAGGCTCCAGTTCGGGCGGGTCTGCGTCCAATTTGCCGTTCAAGAGCCGGGCGGCCTGAACATTCAACAACACACTTGGGGGCAGTTGCGTTAGCTGGGTACTTCATCGCTTGTGCATGTCACGGCCGACAGCTCCATACCATTCTTATCCTCATGATTTTACTGCCGTCAGATACGTATGCTTGCGAAGCACAGACTCCTTGTGTCCACAGAGAGCAGCTAGACAAAAAGCAAAGGAGAATACCACCAAAACTCTGTATGTCAGAGCTGGCATCTCGGGCAGCACAGTTGTTTGCCAGTTGTGTTGCTTTTTGCTACCTCTGCGACAAAGCATGTGCTGCTGTCTTGAGCTGTCTGTTCCCCTTTAGGCACAGGCTTGGCTTGGTATAGTCAGTGTTACAGCGCCCCCAAAAGCCAATTCTATGCCCTCCGAGATGCTTTTTATGCGCACAGCCAGTAGTAAAAATCAGTAGTTCTCAATGAAAGCTATCCCCACGCTTTGGCATGGCATGCCTCCAGAAACTCGCATCGGTCAAGTGCCGCAGACAATGCTGAATGCTCCTGGCAGCATGCACCCTCTTGAGCACAAGATGACACATCCATGAGGCGCTGCGCAGCTGTGGCTCAGGCCTCTGGGAAGGGCTCCATCCTCGAACTGGTGGAGGAGACGGCAGTTTTGTCACCTCTACAGCCATGCCGACTGTCTGGCTGTTTCTAACGAACTGTCATCCTCTTGCCCAGCTGCTGGCCAAGTCATCGGACATTGCCATGGTTGTGAGGGAGGTCTCATGCTGGGGGTCATCAACGTTCGACTTGAAGTCCTGAAGCTTTGCACTGGCCCCTGATGGCTTCTGATCTTTTGATGGTGGGACCACACACTCCGCCATACTGGGTGAGAAGGCTCTGAGAAGCTTCTATGGGTCGGCAGGAATGTGCTGGGTGCCTGCGCTGAGAAGTCAGCGCCCTTTTCCAGGCAATGGCGCCCACCACGGAAGAGAAAGTCGTCAACCGTCTCTTCTACATCCTGCAATATTCGAAAGCGCGAGGGTGCAGAGCTTGGCTTCTCTTTTTCGCATGAAATCGGTGTCCAGGCAGGGCAGTGCAGCAACAAAGCTGCCAACAGCACTTCCAGATCAGGAACGCAGGGGTCATCGCAGGGCTCAGCGCGTGGCGAGTGTTTGGGAGCAGTTTGCAAACTGTGCAAAAACACTGTGCTGGTCACTCCTTCAACAAGTAGCAACGGAAGAAACCCTGACTGAGAGCAGGGTGGACGAAAGCTAGGCCCCCGGCGGGGGATATGCCAAACCGAAGCGAATGTCAGCATCCCCCGGGCGACACTTTAAATCCCTGAAATTTCAGGATATAAGGCCCTCGAGCTAGCTTTCGTAACTTTCTATTGGAAGATGGGCGCAGAACAACTTCTGGTCATCGTGAGTAGAGGACAAGAAGACAAGCGACTCCTGCTCGTGTCGTTTCTGCTCTGTCACGGAGCAGCAGAGACATGACAAAAAGCTCGCCATGGCGGGGCCAGTTTGGGGCTGCAAAATACCAGCGGAGAAGACCATGCAAGATCACGTAACAAAACCCACTGCGCCGCCAGCCGAGCAAAAGACATGAGAAGGCTCTTCTGAATGCGCTACAGCGTTGTGGCTGGCTGTTGGCGATTGATGCTGAGGGCCGACCTACCTACAAGCCAAAACCATCTGCGAAGATGCCGGTCTGGTCGGGAGCAGGCAAGCAGGAGTGCATCTTAGGCCATGCTGCCAAAAAAAAACCAGGGAGGTCATGGGCCAGCATTGTTTTGCAACACTGGGAGAAACAGCAGGAACATCAACAAGGGGTCTGCTTTCCGCTTGAGGACTCCACGAGTCCCTGTTGCGTCGAATCAGTATGGCCCAGTATGGCATTGCCCCTGCATTGCCCCGCCAAGCAATAGTGTGAAGATGCGTTTCGTGCACTTTGCGAGGTGCAGATTTGACAACATCTGCCCTAAGGCCGGCTTTCTCTAGGGCGGAGGACTTCTGACCCATACTGAATCGGCCAGGAAAGAACTGTAAGAACATTCGCCGGTTCCAATCTCTGACTTGAGCAGAGGGTCGGCAGGGAATCTTCTTTTGTGCGGAAAGGGATTCGGAACGAAGCACGGACCGGGAGCTCATGCGCTGGACATGTCAGCAAAAACTTGCCGGCGAGCCTCAATCGCAGCTGATCGTCTCTCTTCGCGCATGAGCTCCCAAAGTCTCAAGACATGCCCCCTTCAGTTCGAAGTATTGACCTGAAGCTTGTTCTGTGAGCACGAGGGGGGGGAGCTGTAAGATGACTTTCAGCTGCAAATGCATGCAAATGCGTCATGCGATTGCCAGGATTTGCCAGGGCAATAGCGCCACACAAGTGCACCGATTACCCGAGCAGCTGAGAACTACGCCCCTTCACAATTTGAGACATGATTGAATTTGCCACTAATTGGCCGTGTGCTTGCTGCTCAAGCTGTGCAATCTTGCCAGCCAGCTGCGCCACACATACGTTACGTGTTGATGTGTGCTGCACAAGGCTGTTTGGGCTTGAGGTCGACAGGGATCGTAGTTGCCAAGACCCCGAATTCCAAAGGCATCCTTGAACCCAGCGTCCCTTTACAGTACCCTAAACCCTAAACCCTAAACCCTAGGGCTCTTGTCGCCTAAGGCGGTGCGGGCAGAGCACCAAGCCGCGGAAGCGGGCTGCGGCAATTGCCAAGCAGCAAAAAGTCCTCGCCACCATCAAGCAGTCGATCGTTTACACTAGTGATAATCATTATACATATATCCTATACACGAGTGATAATAATCATTATACATATATGTATATATACATATACACATACATGAGGCCGGCACCTTTCGGGGTTATGCGTCTATTGCTTCTTACTAGCTCTTGTGGAGTAAATTACTCATAGGTTTTTTTATAGACTCATCATGTATAATTTTAAATCCAGAAGTTACTGGACCTAGTTTCTCATTGCTTTATAGCTCATTCTACTTAGGTTTTCGGTATAGGGTTTACGGTTTAGGGTTCAGGGTTTAGAGTAAAGTTTAGGGTTCAGGGTTTAGGGTTGTGGTTTAAGGTTGAGTGTTTCAGGGTTTAGGGTTTAAGGTTTGTTGAAGCGGTCGTAGGCTCTGGATTTGATCGTTCAACAATTTACGGTTCATGGACAGATACAATGGGTTGCAAAAGGCTTTGGGCCTGACATCCCTAAACCCTGAACCCCGAAAGGTCTAGGGTCTTTTGGGTTTTGTGTTTTTTGGAGCTTTTATTTATGGCTTGGGTTTTTTGGGGCTTAAGTGTCTTTAGGGCTGATGTGCCATGGACCTTTACGTATAAAGTGGGAACCCCTTTTTGTCAAGCTTAAAACTTGTCTGTGCAAGTAGTTAAAACTTAGTTAAAACACTAAGCCGAAAATCAAACCGATCGTAAATTGCTCCTCGCAAATTCCCTTGAACACAACACCAAACCAAATGTAAACATTAACTTCTGAAACACGGAAAAAACCTTAGAACGACATTCTCAACCAAGAACACAAGGTTTACTCTGCCTTACAAACACTTCAATCCAAAGTCCAAACCAAAGTAAACACAACTTGTGTTGTCCTGAAGTTTAACACACGCTACGAATCAAACATTGAATCTTGCCTGCACAGACACTCGTAAACAAAAATCCGACATGAAAGGTGAGCACGAAACCCTGCCCTTGCAAAACACATAATTAGTACGTGACATATATTTTTGTATCAGTGTATATATATATAACATATGGTTGAAATTTTCAAGACATATATCGCTCAAAGCACTTGTTGTACAAGCTGGCACAAGGTGGGCGAGGCTGCTGGTCAATCAAGTGTAACCATCATATAACAAATACAAAAAACAGGAGTTCTTTCAATTCCTATGGGAAGACAGAGGAGCTATTTCATCTCCTACTCAGAGATAGAAGAACTCGCGTTTTAATCTCCCGACACGCACATCTCTACCATCTCCTATCTTCTGTCTCAGTCTCGCAATAGGTCATGAGAGACCTCCTCTAGCTTTGTGCAGGAAAAGAGCGAGAGTTCTCTACTATGTCCATTACATACGGAAATCAAGCGCCGACTCTCACACTGGCACAAGATGGGCGAGGCTGCTGGTCAATCAAGTGTAACCATAGAACAAATACAAAAAACACAGGAGTTCTTTCATTTCCTATGAGAATATAGAGGAGCTATTTCATCTCCTATTCAAAGATAGAAGAACTCTGTCGCAAACGAATAAGAGCGCTTTAATATCCCGAAACGAGGTAGGGGAGCCCACATCTCTACCGTCTCCTATCTTCCATCTCAGTCTCGCAATAGGTCATGAGAGACCTCCTCTAGCTTTGCGCAGGAAAAGAGAGAGAGAGGTCTCTACTCTGTCCATGTTTTCAGAAATATCTTCTTTATGAATGAAGAGGTCATAAGAGAAGCCTTTATCTCTTCATAAGAAATGACAGAGCCCTTCGAACTTTTTACGAGAGATATCTCCTTTTTTCTCAAGCGAGGAGATGTGGACTTGAAGATGAGCGCGAGCGGCAAGTGCGCCCAAAAGATTGAGCAAAAGCAGATCCGAGAGACGTATACTCTCGACTGAAGCTAAGACATAACACTCATAAGTATCCTCTCGTGAAGCAATATGGTCGTCATCAAAGCACGAAAAGAAATGGCGCGAGTCCAAGCCCCCAAGCCAAATAGACCCGAAAGGTTGCTCTCTCATACATATATATATAATCTTGTAATCGGGCAAAATGTATACAAATCTAATAAATAGTAAAGGCCTACTGAGTAACCACGCTCGTCCGCAGAAGTCTGGTGGAGACCCTGTGGATCCTGGAAGGGGCCGGTCTTTGGCGGCATTGCACCTTCAGTGAGAGGCCACATCGGTGAAAGGCTTCGGTGACGAAGGGGTGCTGGCCTTGGCAGGAGGCAGTAGAAGGTAGCTCAGAGAACATGAGACAGCATAGGTCTTCCTGGAACTTAAGTGATTCATGAGCACAGTCCTGCAGTTGGCGCACGAGGGCACGCCTGAGAAACTTGCTGTTTCAGCTATTCCGGTCTTCCTCTCATCAGGCGACGTCTCACCTTGCTAAGCGGGAGTCAGGCGCATATGCCGGGCATGCACCCACAGGAAAGCCAAGGGAGCAGCCTGATCCCAGCCCAGATCCTTGAGGCTCATGCCTCGGCCCAAGTGCTGCCACTTCGAGGCTTGCCGCGCATTGGGGTGGAGCACTGGGAGATGGGCTGATGCTTAGGAATCACCTGTGCAGCTCTCTCAAGTAGGGTCCCTTTTGGGGTCATTGCTGTAAGGCTGCCGTACTATATATATATATATGTATATTTTTTTTGGTACCCACAAAGGGACCCGAATTTCGAGAACTACCCATGTATGGACATCCTTGAGCTGCGAACCCCTCAAAGGAAATCTGCTCGTCGGTGTCCTTCAGGGCAGTTGAGTTCACGGGAGGATTTGCTTGTTGGGTCTCGTTCTCTCTCGTTCCTTTTTGTCATGTTGTTTCGTGTCGGGGTGGGGTGGCAATGTCTTTCAGACATTAGGAAAGTCAAATCATTGTTGCCTCTAGATTGAATAGGGCGCCTCTATTTCCACAGGCGCAGCAGACCAACCACCCCCACCCCCCCCCCCCCCCAATTACTTACAAAAGACAATGCTCGTATGACCGGTGTTCCAAACGATCCGCATGAAATTGTTCTCTTCAGTGTTCCAGGTGGTGTTTTGCTTGCGCATGCTGTGTTGGGAGTTCCAGTGATTGACAGCAGTTTCTTCGTGCGGTTGTGGGTTCTGACAATCAACTTTGCTGAGCAAAAGTTAGTGCGGCTTTTAAACTCATCCCCTCCGCTCCCCGCGTTTGCAAACACAATGCTCGTACATGTCTCGTTCTTTCCTTGCAAAGACTGTGCTAGCACAATGCCTTTGAAAGGAGCGCGCCTATTTACAAACACAATGCTCCGTGCAACTGAGAGATTCGTATGTCTTTCGAAGGAACACCTCTTGATGGCACGATGTGCTTTAAAGCAAGCTTGCGCGGCCTTAGAAAGCATGTGCCCGTTTGGGGTTTGTCTCAACTGCTGTTCAAGGCCAGTGTTCAGTCCGAAGCCGAGACAAAGAATAAAATTGAATGGAGTACGAGTAGATACGAGTAGTTACGAGGAGTGGGGGCACCCCCCGCGCCCCCCCACTTGCGAATACAATGAATGCAATGCTTGTAATGATGGCTTTGGATAGGATTTTGAAGGAAAACACGGAATGTGCATTGACGGCCGGAATCTCTTGACAGCAAGTTCGCACGGCTCCAAAGACAGGAGGACCACAGGGGACCAGGGGACCGCAGGACCAGGGCGGACAATGGGAGCCGGGGACCTCGGCACCAGCGGGGCAGGAGACTGGGCGACCCAAAAAAAAGGGGAAAAAATGAGGGAGAAGAAAGGGAGTAGAAACACGCGCCCTGCGTTTCAAAGGTTGCCAGAACACCAGAATACAGTGAGCACCATCCAAAGCTGGCCTGCAGCACGCGATGGTGCTTGCAGATCGGAGTGCTGCTGCGAATCTGTGAGTCCGGACGGTCGCCGCGGAAGAGGAAGTCGTCTGTATCATCCTGCACCAAAGCAGGCTGACTTGGTGACCTGGTGAGAAAGCTTACCGGCCAAGCCTTTCCACCCTAAACCCTAAACCCTAAACCCCAAACCCTAAACCCTAAACCCCAAACAGCACTGAGCACAAGAGCTCTCTGAGCTCTCCTCTGGTGAGGCCAGAGGCTTTGAGGTACAGCAAACCCAAAACCATGGCAGCATGTCTGAGGCAAAGATGACAAAATCAAACACGCAATTTGGCCAAAAGGCTTTTCGGCACAGGGGTAACCCTTGCTGTGACGACTGCTGCGACTGCTGCTCCAGTTCGGCAGGTTTGTGGTCGACCGAATGACGCTCCGGATGGATCGTGGCAACTGACAGCTCAAGTAATTATGAGGCCATTGCTGCATTTTTGCCTATACCTGCTTCGCTATTCAGGGGGACAGTAAGCTGCAGTTGTTCTCAGGCATGGACTAAAAATGTCCAAGCTCTGGGCCGAAACACTCCGACAAGTCGTTTGACTGAACAGATTCTGCAGACCTGGTTGAAAGTGATTCAGGCGGTCGGAACTTGGGTCTGTGAGAATGGAAGCTCGAGTTTCTTCGCACAAAGCTCGAGTTCCTTCGCACAGCCTGGGGGGATGCGGGGGGTTTCGCATCAATTTCGCACCACTGCATCTGCTGTCTCGAAAAAGCCACCGGTCGCTCAGCATGTGTTTTCCGAGCACAGCCGTCAAATGGACTGCGTGGACTGGCCCTCTTCAGCTCTGCAACACGTCTCAAAGGCCTTGGCTTTGCAACTTTGGTGCATTTCGCCTTGTTGAGCTGGCGCTGAAAATACGCCACACAGAGGAGCAGAAGAGGACAAGAGGACATGCATCAATATGCTTGCATCGCATGGGCACAACAAAAAGGTGTTCTTCAATGTCAAGTATGTAAACCGTGTAGGAAATGCTCCAAGACCAAGCTGTGGACAAACATCCCTAGACTGACATCTCACAAGCATTGGGGCCACGCCAGGCGTGTGCGGAGGCGATCGGCTGCCTGAGCATGACGCAAAGACCTTGGAACAGCAACCGCCGAGGAGGGATTGGCACAATTGGCACCCTAAACCCCCTAAAAAGGGAGCCGAAAAAAAAGCCTGTTGAGGACATCCGACACTTCAGTTGCGAGCAGCTCTGTGGAGCGCCCCCTACTTGGGAGTCTTACTTTGCTCCCTTCTGCTTATCCCTTTTTTGATCTTCTGGGTGGGGGTGGGGTGGTTTGTGAAGGAATGCCCGTTGATGGCACGATACTCAACGATGCAAGTTTTCACGGCTGAAAAGCGCAGAGGGGTGCAGTGCCCCCCTGCCCGACCTCAAGTTGCACCCGCAATCGCTCGCATGATGTTTGTTGAAATGATTCATATGATGGGTTTTGGGGGAGTGTGCAGTATGCATTGATGGCACGCCAGTATTTGGAGCAAATTTGCGCAGCTTTAAAAGCCCTCCTTTGCAAACACAGTGCTCGTATGGCAGAAGATGTTTGGGTGTGGACACGAGGTCCATAGACGGGTCTATCGGGGTTTCTCTGTCAAATCTGTGTGCTTAGAATACGACATTCCTGAGGTTGCTTCCCCTTCAAACACGCGGAGCTGCTTCGGTTCATCTCAGTCTGTAGGGAGGCTTGCTGATGCTTGCCCATGTTGCCAGCATGCTGAAGCCGCTTTCGTTCACAAATTAGTTCAGCAACCCATTAGGAAGAGTAAGCTGCCGACTCCACTTCTCGCAAAGCCTCCAGCATGTGAAAGCGAGACGTTAACCCTATTTGGCGAGTGCATTACGAAGAACACCGGAAGAGCCGAACTCCACTTCTCGCAACAAAAATGGCGCAAGTAGACTGGAAAGCACAGGTGCAGTTGCCACGCAACGCGGCACCCCTGTGAATTGGAATTTCTGCATCACTTGCACTGCAGCTCATGCAGTCCTTCTGTTTTCGCTTTCCATTGACAAGAGGGTTGCTCTGTTGCACCTCAGCAAGTTGTCTCCGGAGCTGCGCATTTTCGTGCGCGAGGTCTGCCTCGCACGGGCCACAGCAGACAAGACGTTCTTGCATATCACGACTATCGACTCTCAATACGTTCGGTGTGTGGTTGAAGGAGCTTTCGAACGACCCTAACTCCGTGCGTCAGGCGTAGGGCATGCGCAATAGTGACTTCAATAGTGTCGTTAGCTGACGTCATGGCCGGATGACGACTTGATGTAGAGACGCCAGAGCCGACTCGGAGATCGTTCAGAGGGACGCGACATGGCTAGGCTGGGAACGCCACATTCTCTTCTTCCAGCCATTGTTGGCGAAGGGCTGTTCCTTGGGCAAAGGGTTGTCTTTCCAGCATGACAACGTTCATCGAAGCTGCACTACGCGCGGTGATTAGTCTGCCCTCCCATGCCGGCCTGGCTCCGATCCTGCGATGGGAGGCTCCACGAGCATGCGCTCGTAGTGCCTCGCGCCAATCCGAAAGGGATTCCACAACAACCCTCAGCAGCCACAAAGGGCCCAGCGCAGTTCGTGCCAAGTCGATGATCTCTGCCTGCCAGGCAACATGGCTGATAGCCAACGTCTTCGTTCAATGTGTTCTCGGGGATGAGAAGACAGACGCCGACATGCGCCAGATGTATGCATAAATGCAATGGTGACAGCTTGCCTTCAGCAGGTCAGAAACCAACTTTTCCCAAGAAGAGCAGTGCCTCAGTCTGTGGTCAAGGCTTGGAGCATCTTGGAAGTGCTCCAACTGCCAGGAGCATTAATCTATGATTGGGCCTGCCGAAACGAGTCCTGCACTTGGGCACAGCAAGATAGGAAAGGAAGCTGCTCTGAAGACTTTTGGAGAGATAGCAGGGTTCTTCCAACAATACCATTTGAGACATCGCACCAAGGGGATAGTTCAACATGTATGTGTCCAGCCTTTGTGGATTCGGTTATTCTTGCCGTCCCTCTTGTGTGTGCTGGCGGCGGTGCGTGCGTGTGCGCGTGCGTGTGGGACCACGCTTCAATTTTGAGTCCCTGATCCGGCTTGCTTCCGGAGTGGGGCGTCCATCGTCTTTCCTGGCAAAAAATAATTTTGCCTGAAGGAAGTGGGAGTTTCTAAAGATGAAGGCCCCAAGCAAGACCATCCACAGCAGAACGTCTCCTTTTCGTTCTCACGCGCGCTGCGTGCTTTTCTCCGACCAGGCAGCGTGTTGGGCCGCCCTGAGGCGCTTCACCTGCCAGGATGGGCTAGTAGACCTTATAACCCTTAAAAAAGGGTGTTGATAGGGCTGTTTATGGGGGTTACAGGGCCTAATAGCCCATCCTGGTGAGGTTCCGGTCTGAGCACGTGAGTGAATGTGAGCGATGCGTGCGATGCCTGCGGCAGAATCTTCTGCTCCGTTCTCTCGCACTCCTGAGGCAAAACAAGCTTCGCTCACAAGGCAAGTACAGAGCTAGAGCTGAAGTGCAATTTTTAGTGCATCTCAGAGTCCGCCAAAGCTTTGCATACAATCGTGTCTAGATCGGTAACATCATCTCGTAGATCTGAACATTGGGAGCATATGCAGCAAATTGCAGCAGCTGACACGCTCTCATCATCGCTCCGCACGAGCATATGTTGCATGACTGCTTTGCGGAGTCAGCCGCTCCAATGGCCCGCGCCTGCGGTGCAAGCAGCCATCAGCTCTTTCAATTCGCCGTTTACCTTAAACGGCCGGGCAGATTGAACAAAAGAGCATGAAAACATATGAAAGCCGCAAAACGCAGTTTTTTTCGACGACCTGCACATTGAAGATGGAGCCAGCTGGCTTCGGACAAGGCTCTTGCTCGGCCGACGGGGAAGTTTGGGTCGACAAGTGCCGCACTTTAAGAGGAACTCTCTGCAAACTCGTCCCGAAAGCGACCTAAGTTGCAAGAGACCCCGCTGTGCTCCGCTGAGCTGAAGGAGGCCGCATACATGTCGCCAGTTATCACGGGGCAATCCTTCTTCTCGGTCCATACGCCAAGCTTCGGCGGACTGCTGAAACTTGCCCTTGTCGTTCTTGTCTCTGGGTGGCCGAAGAACTAGGCAGCCTCTGGGCAAGTTGCTCACAGCATGAACCTCGTCTTGCGGAAGGGCGAGGGTAGTAGCATACAGCCATCAGTGCGACTCCACTATGTGCCGGTTTTTGTGGAACTCCTACCCAAATACGATTCGCGCAACACAGCTGATACCGGGTAGTGTCTATGGTGTTTCCTGGTTCTGCCTGCGAAGGGTGCATCTGCCCCAGCCAAAGCATCAGAAGCCGTCTTCACTGCCTCGTTCCAGCCAGGCACACATGAAAGGATCACGCAGGCAGCCCTGATTGCAGGCCGCAGAACACGATGCACATCAATGTATCCTCACGGTACCCTCCCTCCTCATCCGCCCGTTTTGGCCACCCAGGCTTTTGCCCTTCACCTTCCCGCCCGTCACCGTACCCGTTGCTTGCCAAGCCTTGTACGCTTTGTTTAAGGAGGAGGTCCAAGTGGCTGCGTCGTCCGGACTTCCTGCTCTTCCCCCAACCCCCCCCCCCCACTCCTCACCCTGCCCTTTCTAGCTGCTTGTAAAGCGGGTCGGCATGGTCTAGATGGCTTATGTTAGTAGAGGTGCTAATGCCACCTCCCCTGCCGGCTTCCTGCCAGTTTTCCTTTTCCAACCTCTAGAATGATCGTTTCTTTGAAAACGGTCCCAATCATGAGCATCACGAGCACCGCTCGGGTCGCAGCCTGAGGGGCGGCGGGGTCAATGCGGTATGGGGGGGGGGGGGGCCTAAAATAGACCAATAGTAGGACACCCTTAAAACAACGACCCCAATGAGGTACCCCCTATTTTCGGAAATCCCCCCCATATCTCGTATCTTCGGAATCCCAGGAGTGCCCAGGATGGTTTGCTTCATCTCAGCGCACCATTCAACCAAAAAATTGCTTCACCTCTTGCCGAGGGGATGACACGATTCGGGATTTCCCCATTTAAAAAAGATCTGTCACGAGGGCTTCACCTGAAGGATTATGGTCGTGAGAATTCCGAGAAAAAAGCCCCTGCAAAATCCTTATCGAAAGGCGCACGGTCCCGGACCCTTTTTCCGCCTCATGGTACACTGAGGTTGGACTAGGGGAACGAGCGACTCGAAATCACGATTCAACACACCAGCTTGCTCACCCAGCTGTGCAGTGCTCGAAACAATATCTGTCGCCGGCCCTTGCCTGGTGAAGCCTCCTCTCCTCCGAATTGAGCGAGAGTTCATCAAACGGAGCGCTGCGAAGATTGCACCACCCCAGAAGCCTTGCGCACGTGCTCGAGCGGGCGCGCACACACTTGTGTGCGCGGGTGGCGAAGTGTCAACATAATAAAACGAAGGCATACACGCGTGCCTGAATCCTTTCCTCATTTGCTCTGCCACGAGCTCTTGTGCAAACTGGGAGAGAACGGCCGTAGCCTCTCAGGAAGGCGCAACATCAGGATCCACACAGAATGATGCATCTCAATATACATATATACATATATATATATAACAAGAGTTTCTGGCTCCTTACTATTGCACAGGATTGCACCTTGTCGGTGCCGCTGCCGGCACTGCCCAACAGCCGGAAGCTGCAGACATGCATGGGATCGTGCCTTGACAGCGGGCTTAAACGTTAAAACACTGAGGGGCCAGACTTAAATGGCATTGCTGAACCGGATTTTCGGCATCTTCAACATAACACGCGGTGCCCAAGGCACCCGAAGAAAAGGCCTTCAAGATCCTGGACGGGGGAGCCAACTCAAGTTGTCCATGCTGTGCAGTTTTGTCCCATGCCCCCTGTTCTGCCACGTTGGACCCCTGCATGACACAAAGTGAAGCTGAAGCCTGGTTTTTAGGGTCTTTAAGGGTTTAGGGGTTTTAAGGGTTTAGGGTTTATAGGGTTTAGGGTTTAGGGACTGTTTATTGCTAGCCCACGCGCCTCGGGCGTGATGGCAGCCGTGCTCAGCATGAAGGCCCAAGTGTGTGGTGCCACACTCAGCTCACCCATCAGAGCGGAGGGCCTCCTAAAGATAACGCTAAGAATGCAGGCTTGCAGAGCTACTCTGCATGCTTGTTGCATGATTTGCATGTTGCATGTCCAGTTTTCTGCTGGAGGTTTGATGTCACTAAGGCTACGGTCAAAGCACTCGGGCATGACCTGAACACAGCACGCCTGACAACGTGAGAGAAGACTAGCTATAACTGGATCTTGGGATGAAGCAAATTCTTTTCTTGAGCAAGACAAAAGAAGGGTAGTACGTGTGAAAGCCGGTGGCTAAGAAGTTGGGATCCCCATGGTCATGCAAGGTGCAACATGCCACGCCGAGGCTGCAGCTCGCCACCAGCCCCCTCGCAGCTCTCGCACAGTGGCCTTCACGGGGCTTCTTCGAACGGTCCAGCAGACTGCGCGGGATTTACGCCAATCTGAGATGATCGCAGGACAGCTGTCCTTGCACAGTCCCAGTCAACGCCAAGCCACGACCCATGCAGCCCAACAACAACCATTGCTTATGAAACGCCGAATGCTCGGAGCGGATGCTCAACGCCGCCAGCGAGATTCTTCAACCCAACAAACAGCCACTGTTGGTGGGAACATGTGGGAACATACTCAGTGTACGCGTCACTTCGGCACCAGCTGTCATGGTTCATCGCGGCTGGCCTGAGGTTGTCTGAAAGCCCATCACCGACGTCCTGCGCCGGGGCCGGCAAAGCACGAGCTGCCAACGCAGGACTCAGCTCTGCGCAATGCTCAGGGCCCTCAATAGAAATCTCCAAAGTGAGAGCCGGAATGCTGAAAACTCAAGAGTTTCCTTCTGCACCTGGGAGCCACGCAGGATGACCATGACTAGGCTACTAAGCCCCTGGGCTGACGAGTCTCTCCTCGCTACCATCACTGTCAGCATGACGTGAGCTTCCTCGGTCATGAGCCCACACCCTATTTGCCTACGGTACCTCCTGGGCGCTCTACACTTGAAACAAAGTGAGTCAGACTGTTGCCCTGCAAGGTGTTCAGCATCCGAGTTTTCTCACGGCCTCTCGATACCCTATGCGATGTGGTGGTTGCTTACTGGGCTTCCGTAACTTGGTTCCAGGCTCTGCCCATTGAGCTCAGCCGGCCTCTTGACATCCGCGTCGTGCTCATATGGCAGCACTGAGCTGCTGATCCACAACTTGTTCTTGTTTCTTCAAACTACATCTGTGTGCACCTCTCCACCTCAGATTCCGTATGAACCCCCTCTGCACTAAGGCTTTCGCGATGGGCTTGGGCTGACCTTGCAATCCACGCTGCTCACATCTGGTTGAGGGTATCAGACGAACTGGGAACTAGAAGCACCCAGCACAAGCACCTAAACGACTCGCATACTCGCAGCGGTGCTCAGACTACGGCGGTGAAACGTGCACGTGATGCGCAAGGAGAAAGCATTTCAGACTGGAATCACTGTAGCACATGCAACCTTAACGTTGCTGAGGCATGATCCGTTTGCGTGTCTCGCGCACGGACCAGTCGCCTTGAAAACAAGCTGGAAGTGTTGAAAGTTCGAACCTGCAAAAACCATGAGTGTGCTCATCTGCATCGTCATTAGGATTCCAGGACAGGGCGTGTATCTTCAGACGTATGCACGAGCTCACCGACGTCGTGCGACATGGGCCAAAACAAATCCAAAACCTTATGATTGTCCCTGAGCCTCCTTTCGACGACCACAATCTCGAGTCAGGGAGAGCAAGCATTTGTCTTGAACCTCCACCCCCCCCCCCCCCCCCCCCCCCCCGCCTGAGCAGTCCACGACGTCGGCTGGTCATCGGCTGCGGCCCAGCCACGCTATCTGAGAGCAAAAAGGAACAAGAAAACGTATCAAACACCCTAAACCAAACCCCAAACCCCAAAACCCTAAACCCTAAACACCATAGAGAGCAGACTCCGAGAGCTGCAGAATGAGCCGGGCCTTGTTGCTGGGAGCGGGAGAGACCTTCCTCACCAGGCTTGGGGCTGACGAAGCCCGGAAGGCCTGATCGAGACATGTCCCTAGTTGTCCAGTAACCTGGGGGAATTAAAGGCGAGCCTTTGGGATTTTATAGGGATTAGAATAAATAATACACCAAAAGGTTAAAGGTTGCCTACTTACTACTAAGTATCTCACAAAATCCACAGGCCTGCCCTTCGATCATGATTTTTGAATGAGTATATCCAGATGCCACTTGAAGATCACAAAGCACGGCCTGTTCCTGTAGGCTTTAGACTGAAAACTTCACCAAGTTTGCAAGATTCCCTCCCCAAGGCATGGACACATTGTGAAACTCTAGGTGAAAGACCTGACCAATCGTCCTCACCATGCAAAAAGAACAGCACTTGATACGTTGTTCCATGTCATCAGACTCACGTGACTACTTAAGCCCACAATCTCCACACCGAGGGGGCAAGACTAAACCCCAAACCCTCAACCCCAAACCCTTTTGCCGGAGGGCTCTCTTACCCTAAAACCCTAAACCCTAAACCCATTTGTTGCAGAATGGCTCGCCCCGGTAGCTGCCCTCGAGCTTGCCTGGTCGGGCAGGACGGGGCCATGGCCTGGAAACTGTGAAGAAATCGATGCTGGAAGATGCTGGAAGACGATAGTTAAGTTTAGGGTTAGGGTTAGGGGCCTTAATAATCAGAATAGGGTTTGGGGGGTTCTTATCGTATGATTACAAACGGGCCGTAGGGGGAATACTATTCGTACTTATTTCCGACCCCTATATTACTTGCAAGCGATCTGGGGACCAGAGATGCTTTAGGGAATGCCGGCAGTACATCCTCCCTGAATAGAGCCAAGCCGCTGGGCGAGCCCTAAAACCCGCCACACGACACAGCTGGTACGAGCAACACATATTTCCACCCACCCTTTCAAACTTCAAGGCAGTCTTCGACCAGAATAGACAGGTTCGTTGCAGCCATGCTGGCCACTTCATTCGTCAGATGGAGAGCCAGAGAATTAAAGGCTCCGATTTTTCTGCCGTTCCCAGGTCTCGAAAGGCCGCGCCTAGTAAAACGGCGTTTAGGGCTTCAAAAACACGACCTCCCCTCTGTGGTTTCCTGTGTTTCGAGAGCTTGGATTGTAGATTGAGTCTGTAGAGTCTGTGTACACGTTCCGCCAAATAGCAGAGGCAAACTCTCAAAACAAGCCCTTTCGCTGCAACCCCCTCCCAACCACCCAGAAAGCAATCATGAGCAACGAAGAGCTTTTGCTCGCAAACGTGGCTGAAGTGCACGTGAATACTTGAAGAGGGCTGGGGTATTGGGCAACCTGTTTGAGGGCCCGCCGGCCAGGTCTCCGGAGAAACACTGTCTCCTCGACTCGAGGCACTGCCTTGGCCCTTCAACAACCAACACGTGCCCCCCCTTTCAAATGCCCTCGCACTTTTGATATAACCTGTTTCTCCAACAGGGTGGGGGGGTGGGCAAAGAATCCTTGGACCTCACTCCGTGACCCAGCTTGGGCCGCACACCACCATGCAGCTCATTCACTTGTTCTTACTCACACTGCGTGTGGAATCACAACAAGCCCTTTCGCTGCAACCCCCTCCCAACCACCCAGAAAGCAATCATGAGCAACGAAGAGCTTTTGCTCGCAAACGTGGCTGAAGTGCACGTGAATACTTGAAGAGGGCTGGGGTATTGGGCAACCTGTTTGAGGGCCCGCCGGCCAGGTCTCCGGAGAAACACTGTCTCCTCGACTCGAGGCACTGCCTTGGCCCTTCAACAACCAACACGTGCCCCCCCTTTCAAATGCCTCTTACTTCAGCCCTTTGGATTCTCGCGATTTTCTCCTCTGATGCATTTGTCACAAGTGATGTAATCGGCTGGGGCTTCGGACTCGCTCACGAGCACTCTGCAGGACCCTCTGCTGGCAATCCAGGGCCATCCGCAGACTGTGGTCCAGCGCTCCGGCTCTACTTGCACATGACACAAAGCGATTCTGTGCAACTTCTTTGTGCGAAAATTATACACAAAAGAGGGAAAAGCGGCCTTATGTGCAGCAGCCTTCGCCTCTCTCGATACAATCGCTTCCAGTTTCTCTGGCTCGCAGGGCTCCCAGCTCGAGCTAGACTTCCCTGTGACTTTCTCGACGCACGCCAGGACATCCTCAGCAGTCCAGGCTGCGTCTTCTTGGACCTTTAGCCTGTCATTCATCTCATCCTGCTTCTGGCTCAAACATTCAAGTCGTCGAGTCACATCGATCTGATTCTGGGCCCACATCCGGGCTCCAGGACACTCCTCCGCCGCCTCTTCAATGTATCCGTCCACGGCAGCTGAACTGTGTCTTGCAAGATGTTTGATAGCTTCACGGGGAACTCCATTTCGCGCCAGTCTTTTGCAGCCGGTCCTGCGCATGAAGTGGCCCGAAATTCGCTCCGGGTCGATGTGACAGGCCTCCGGGACGTAGTTGAGAAGCCACAACGCATCTTCTCTCGCGGCAGCGATCACATCGCCCTTGTCCACTACCTTCAAAGGATCTCCAGTTTGACCCATCAGTGGAACCACATCAGCTTCTGCCATATTGGTGTCCACGCCAGTGGCTGCCATTTGCCTGCGTACTGCTTTGAGCGTCGAACAATACGGGCACATGATGCCTTCACAATCTTCTGTTGCAGATGGTGCCAGACATGCCAACGTTCGACGGCAGCCCTTTGCTTGCGCGTCAGTCTTGCTTACCGGAAGCATGAGTGTGACTCTACGGGCGCCCAAGTCGAACGATACGTCAGCCAGCATCACCGTCGCTAGCTCCACCTCCCTGAGTATGAAGTGGATGCCGACTGCCCACAGCAGAGGTCCTCCTTCCGGCTGTAGCTCAACGGGCCGCCCCACATCGGGCAGCAAAGCCAGCCACTCCAGCTGCAATTCGTCAGACTTCTCAGCACCTCCAAGCCCCCTTGAAAGGGCCCTTTTGGCATCTCGCATTGCCATCTCAAGCATCTCACTCCACACGTGGCCTTTGCGGATATGCTCTAGCTTGGCGTCCAGGAGATACG